CCCACAGACCTGACCTCCCATCTGACCTGACCCCCATCCACACTGGCCCTCAGCCCTGACCCAGTGATGCCACTGGAGAAGCAAGGCAAGGCTCCAGAGACCGCGGGTCCAAAGGGAGAGAGGGGCTTCTGAGAAGTCATGTATCACCACGTGCTGGCCTCAGTTTTCCCGCTGGGCACTCCGGTGACCCTGTCCTCAGGGATCCCCACGTGGTCTCCAGAGCGGGTCAGGTCACTGTCCCCACAGTGCGCCATCTGCAATGGGCGTCCTTCCGTCCTGGCTCCGTGGACAGGGCGCTAGAGGGACCGCTTTGCTCCGGGTGCTCGCCTCCACCAGAGCTCAGGGCGGGCAGCGGCTTCCAGGACCACAGGGGCGAGTGGGTGGCATGGAGGGGATGACGTGGGGGACATGGGGGGGACGATGTGGGAGTGGGTGATGACGTAGAGGGAGGATAACATGGGAGGTGAGGGTGACATGAAGGGGGGAGGACGTAGGAGGGGTGATGACGTAGGAGGACGATGTGAGAGGTGGAGTGACTGGCGTGGAGGAGGATGACGTGAGAAGTGGGGGAGCTATGAGGGGTGATGACGTAGGAGGATGACATGGGAGGTGGAGTGGGATGACGTGGGAGGTGGGTGATATGGAGGGGTGATGACGTAGGAGGGGGTGATGACGTAGAAGGATGACGTGGGAGGTGGGTGATATGGAGGGGTGATGACGTAGGAGGGGGTGGTGCCGTAGGAGGATGACGTGGGCGGTGGCCTGACAGGCATGGAGGGGGTATGTAAGAGGTGGGGTGACGGACATGGAGGGAGGATGACATAGGAGGATGATGTGGGAGGCAGGAGTGACGTGGAGGGGGCATGACGTGGGAGGATGACGTGGAGGAGATGGCGTGGTGACGTAGGGAGAACGACGTGGAGGGAGTGGCACAGAGGCAATATGAGGGGGTGAAGCAGAACGTGGTGGGGGGAGACGTTGGGGTGGGGCCAGACATGAAGAGATGGCCGCATCCCCAACTGGAGTGGACTGAGGGACTGGTTTCCTGGGGCGGCCGGCAGATGATCACCAACTGGGGATCAAGACAGATTATAACGGGAGAGTCATTATGTTCTTTCTTTGGTGTTTCTAATGGTACAAACATTAGCGTGACTCTGTGCTGTTTCCCCTGGCCTTGGGAGGACCACAGACACCCTCTGAACGGTGTGGATTGGGTGGCCCAACGCTGGAAGAGTCCTGGGTGGTCCATGTCGACGTGGGGTGAGAGGTGAATTAGGGGCCATGGGGCTAAGAGCTCAGCCTGGAGCAGGGGCCGCTCTGGGAGAGGAAAGGCCAGCAGGGGGCGCCCGTCTGCAGTGAGAAAGCAGGTCGGGACATCGCATAGCCGGCCCGCCACCAGCCCCTCTGCAGCCTGGTGCAGTGTAGTGGTGCAAGTGACGGGCCCAGAGCCGCTTCCACTCTTCCACGAAGGGTGCCTTGTGGTCCTCAGCTCGCAGCTCCCACTGGGCGCCCAGGCACCTGGACGTCTCAGAGCTTGCAGCTTTGGGTCTCCTGCGCCTTCGGGCAGTGCTGAGCCGAGCTCTGCTTCACTTTTCTAAGGCTGCCAGCACTCTCCGCCTCCTGTGACCCCAAAGGCCACCAGGAAGTGGCTGTAGGAGCTGGAAGTTCTAGACTCCAGGCCTGGTCGTCTGAGGAACGGGGTAGCCAAATGGAGCAGTGGTAGGAAGTCTTAACGGAGCGTCTGGAATGCCCTTCCCTCCAAAGTGACCTTGTCAATTCCAAATACTGGTGTCCTCAAACTAGAAATGTCTCCCCAGTCTGCAGTCGTTACGGAGAAATTCGCGTCCTTAAAATGTCCCTATTAGTCCAGGGTCCTTAAAATGGAACTCCATTCCCAACCAGTTGGCACACTGTGAAGAGGGGACTGTCGGGAATCTTTGTCTGTCTCTCTCCTTCTACTTGCGGCTACCAGAGAATGTCTCTTTGCAAGCCACATATCTGACAATCTATTAACCAAAATATATATAGAAAACTTTTGACAGCTTAACTATAAAAAAGATGAATGGGTAAAGGACTTGCCTATACATGTCACCAAAGTGGGCATTCAATGACACTCGAGGCCATTAGCCAGGAGAGAGATGCACTTCAGAACCATGTGACACCATGTCATTCCTGCTAGAATTGCTAAGATGGACTTCTGGTGTGGCATTGTAGGGTAAGCACTGGTCTCTGAACCACAAGGTCAGCAGTTCAAACCCATCAGCTGCACCTTGGAAACCCTATACATACAGGGTAACTATGAGTAAGAACCAATTTGACAGCACTTAATAACAACATATTGTGGTGTCTTGTGTATAGCTGCAAAGCTGGAAGCTATGTCTGCAGTATTTTAAATACCAGCAGGGTCACCCATGGTGGACAGGTTTCAGTGAACTTCCAGACGAAGACAGACTAGGAAGATTAGAGGCAGGCCAGTTCTGAATGGTTAGCCACTGGAAACCTTGTCAATAGCAGCAGGACACTGTCAGATAGAGTGCCCGAAGATGAGCCCCTCAGACTGGAAGGCACTCAAAATATGACTGGGGAAGAGCTGCCTCCACAAAGTGAGTCAGGCTTAATGACGTTGATGGAAGACAAATCAAAATGAGAA